AGTGGTGCTGGGCTCTGGTGACTTTATAGTGTCCATGGCGTGTGCTTACAGGTCCGTCTCCCTGCTCTACTCAGGGTGCCCTCAGGTCAGAGCCCCAGTCTCATTCACTCCGGGCCTCACACAGACTCTGTCCAGTGAATGGATAAAAGAGAAAAAATAAAATAGAATAAAGATAAAAAGCTACACACCAGCCATCCATTACTCCCACAAATGTCTGCCAGCTACTACTGTGAGACAGACACTAGGTACTGGTGACACAAAGGTGAACCAAACCTAGCCCACGGAGAGCAGGAAAGCCAGGTAATTACCAAACACCATGATAACTGATGGAATAGAGGCTACCATGGAGTCCTGTGGCAGAGCAAGGCGGCAGCAAGGGCTCTTGCTTTCAGAACGTCTTGTCTCCTGCAGATTTCTTATAGGATTAATGAGCCTTTCAAAGATGGTTTCCTTGGCACTGCCCCTTGGGTAGCTGTAGTTCCCATATTGGGAGCTTTGGTTGTGAATGGGAAATCTGGGTGCCTGTGCAGGACCCAGGGCAGTAGACAGAAGGAGAGCAAAACCATGAAATCACCCTGTCTACTGTCCCCCTCCCCCATCCTGCCAGAGCCTCTGAGATGCAGTGAGCCTGGGCCCTGGCTCAGGCCCTTGGGAGAGTCACTTGCCCTCTGGGCCTGGGTCCCATCTGTAGAGTATCACAGTTGGATCAGATCACTATGTCTATCTTAGGAATTCACATTTACTAAATATCGTCCATGTTCCAGGGGTCATGCCATGAGTGTTTACATAAATGAATCCTGCCCGGAGAGTGGGCACTGTAACCTCCAGTTTGTAGATTAAGGAAACTGAGGCCTGGAGCCTGGCATGCCCATGACGACATCCCATGGCTATGAAGGAACTGGGCCAGAATTCAAACCCAGCTCTTCTGGCTTCAGTCCAGCCAGTGCACTTTATGCTCCGGCAGGCTGCCCTTTACATGATAAGAAATGATCTACGTTAAAACACCCAGCATCAAGCCTGACATGCGGTTATTGCTCAGGAAGTATGAGTTTCTTTCTCAGGGATTTTCCAAGCTGTGGAGGCAGGGATTCAAGGACAGGGTCCACATGCCCCTGATTTCTGAGCATGGCCCTCTGGCAGGAGCACGGCCCCAGCTCTGGGCTGCTTTGATGTTCTGTTAGGAGACAGTCTGGGGAGAGAAAAACCCCACATAGTGAATTTTGGGATTAGAACTGTGTGCAGGGGCAGGAATCTGTGGGAGGAAAGGAAGCCCTTTCTGCAGATAGTCTGGAGTAGGGCTTGGTAGTCCTGCTTCCAGACTCTGTTAAAGCAGGATCCAAGGTCAGTGTGTATAGGTAGCCAGGAGGCATTGTCGGTCTCCTGGAAGCTAGAGGAAGGGCAGAAAATCATGTTCCTAAGACTCAGGGTTTCTCATGCAACCTTGAAATACTGCATTTTGCAAATAGAACAGAGCCTGGCACAGAAAAGGCTCTCATTCATTCATTCATTCATTCATTCATTCAACAAGTATTTAGTCAGGGCCTTCCTCAGGCCAGGCACTGTTTTAGGTACAGAGAATACAATGACATGCAAATGTGACATGGTCCTGTCCTCTGAATGCTTCATTCTAGTAGGGGAAACATTAATCCGAAAGAAGGAAGTAATTTGCTGTGATCAAGGGTATGAAAGAAAGGGCCAGCCAGGGACTCAGAGAGCCTGTAACAGGGATGTAGTCACATCTGCAGGTCAGGGAAGGCTTCCCCAGGACAGGGCTCCAGCGAGCTGAGAGATGGGGGTGAGCAGGCACTAACCAATGGAAGACGAGCCAGCGTGTGTTCCAGGAGACAGGAGCCCGTGCTAAGCCGTGAGCGGAAAGGAGCAGGGCAGACTGAGCAGCAGAACAAAGTCCCGCCAGGCTGCCGCAAGGGAGCAGGGAAGGAGGTGGGAGTCGCTGGTCGCCAGGTGGGGCTGTGTAACAGGTTTTCCTCTCTATTCTGAGTACAAGGAGAAGCCGCTGGAGAGTTGCAAGCAGGGAAGGGATAAGCTCTTTTGAAAGATCATTCTGATTTCTGTATAAAAAATGAATTGGATCATAAGCAGAGGATACCAGTTAGGAGGCTGTGACAATGGTCCACAGAGATGATGGCACAACTGGTGAGGGGACGCAAGGGAGGGAAAGAAATAGGAACATTTAAGAGATACATGTTGGGAGCTGGAACAGATGGTCCTTGATGAGTTGGGTGAAGGTTTTGACGGAGAGGAAGGTCTCCAGGAGGACTCTGGGTTTCTGGCTGGGGCCATGGGATAGACGATGAACCAGGTTTCAGCAACAATGATTTGTGAATCTTTCCATTTGACCTTCTTTGTTCCAGGTACTGTGCTGGGCATTGGGGCTGCAGGCCAGGAGGATGGCCCTTGCCTTCAGGGAGCTCATGACCTAACGGGGGAGACCTGACAAGTAACAGGGGACCCTATGAATGTGGGGAGAGACCGTAAAATGGTGCCGCTGCAAGGGAGATACAGACGAAACTAATGTGGAGAGACACATCTATGAGGGCCTGGTGAGGAGGTGGGATCTGAGCTGAGCCATCAAGGACAGACAGGGAAAAGTGGACAAAAGAGAGCAATCCAGGTAGCAGGCACAAGGAAATGAAAATACTGGGAGTGTATAAAACAGAATGGGGTGGCCAGAGGACAGTGCATGGAGGGTGAGGCTACAGGACTGGCCACCACCTGCCCTGCCTTCCTCCAGGGCTGCCTCGAAGGTCCAGTGCATGAACATTTAGTAAACTGTCCCTAGTTATTACAGTACTGGATTTATTCATGCAATGCACTGAAGCACTCTACAAATATCAAGAATTACGATTTCAGATTCCTGCCTAAAAGGATCATATGCTCCTCTGTCTTAATAGTCCCTGACATTTGTATTGTTATCCACATTCTACAGGTGAGGAAACTGAGGTCTACAGTGGTTGAGTAATTGCCCAAGACCTTCCAGGCCATAAGCAGCACAGAAGCTGAAACAAACCCAGCAGGATGTTTTAGTTTCCGAGAGGGTACACGGGCTGGGAGGAGAAGTGGTCTGTGTCCTATGCTGCCTTGAGAAGATTTACATCATGCTCAGGGCACCAGATTTGGTTGTGCAGGTTGGGCTGTGCCCAAGGACAACTGGCCTATGGGCTGCATGGGGCTGAATCCAGCCCATCTCCACTCACCAACCACGCTCCCCCTGGAGACACAGCTTTGTCTCCTTCACACGGAGGGTGCTGTGAGTGCTGCCTCTGCCAGCCTTATTGGGAGTGGTGGGGCATTTTACAGCTGGGAGACCGACAGGGCAGAGTGGAACCAAGTGATAGCCAGTCAGTGTCAGTGAGAGTTTTATGTTGTCCTTGAGGGCAGTTTTGTTCATAGGAAAACCAACTGAGGCTGCTGTGGTTTTAAAAATGAATGCTTAATTGATCAAAGTAACATTTAAAAATCTAGTAAATTTTAACAATCTCTTTTAAGGGGGATTTTATAACTTAATTTCCCTGAATAATTTAAATTAAATGATAAATAATTTAAAATAAACTAAGCTTAAAAATATGAAATCTATTGGATTGTCATAAAAGTTCCATCACTGTTTACAAAATTTATAGAATTATATCTTTCAATTTAAAATCACAAGTCTAAATTAATTTTTCCATTGCACATTTTATATTGGAATCACAAAGCTAATCTGATCCATATTCTAATATGCCAAATTATTTTAAATATTACAAATACTTTCAAACTAAATCTACACTGATTTTTCCTAAGCATAGTACCAAAAAAAAGGTAATATTGTAGATTTAATTCATCATTTATAATATTCTAAACCTACCCATGACTAAAAACACTCACTAAAGAAACAAGTTTACCAACCAAAGCAATGTAAGGTTATATATTCAAGCAAATTTGGGGTTAGTTTACAGCTGGCTAAGAGTACTCACTACACACAAATTTGGAGTGTGACATTCCAAACCAGACTGGCACGGTCTGTGTGTGGCAATGTTTGCCCTTGGCGTCAGTGATGTCACCTGCTCCCTACCATATCGGTGGGCCAAGGGATGGGGCGGTTGTCTGCAGTGGGGCAGATGAACCAACCTATGAGAATTCTGGTGAGAGGCTTGGATTCTTAGATATAGGGAAATCAATCACCCTTAGAGCCTTGGAGTAAGTGTGAGCAAGGGCCCAGGTAGAGTAGAGGGAGCCAGAGTGGGGCTGTAGCAAGGGGAGCAAGTCCTCTCACTGCCTGAATTGGGAGTCCTAGCCCTTCATCTAGCAAAGGTGGAGCAATGGCAGTGGCATGGGCTACAATGGGGTGCACTGTCTATAGAGAATTTAAAAGCAGTAATAACACCAATTAAAAACTGGTCTGCTTATTATCACCATATGCTGGCTGTTCTAAGTAAAGTCAGCGATAAAAATAATTTTCTGCTTGCAAGGGATGGGGAAAGAGGGACATTCCCACTGCCTTCTTTCTTGGCATGCCATGGACCCCTTGACCTTCCTCACAGTCAGCCCTTAACAAGGGGGTCAGGAAGAGGAAGGCCATGAGGTCAAGGAAAGAACATTCCTGCCTATAAGGTCGTCTGAGTAGACAGCTAAGAGGAGCTCCCAGGATGAGCCCAGCTATCCTGGAGGAAGGAAGAGTGGCCTGGGTGGAGTGTGGGGTGGACGAGCTGCTGGGCTGCCCACTGGAGGACTCTGAGTCCTGTGAGAGCACCGCCGTTTTCCCTGGGTGCCGCCCTCTGTGCCACGCGCAGGTTATAATCAATTGGCAAGCACACTGAATGGCTGATTCCTGAGCCTGCCCCTCACCCAACCCCACATTCTGTACTAAGAATGTGGAAATCAGATTCTCCTCCTGGCTCTCCAGCAAGAGCTGCCCTGCCCAGGCTCCACAGGCAATCTGTGCTCTGCCCCATCCCTGGCCTGAGCTCTGGCCCTCACAGTGACCACCTCTCTCTCCTCTGCAGGAGCCAGGTTGATCCCACCATTGATTCACGTAAGAATCGAGGTCCTATAGCCACAGAGCCAGACAAGGAACAAGGTCTCATGGGCCTAGGGCCTCTGAAAGATCAAGGTCCTGTGATCCAAGAGCCTCCAAAGGATCAAGGCCCTACTGTTCCAGAGCCTCTGAAGGATCAAGCTCCTGTGGTCCCAAGGCCTCTGAAGGATCAAGCTCCTCCAGTCCCACGGCCTCTGAAGGATCAAGCTCCTGTGGTCCCAGGGCCTCTGAAAGATCAAGCTCCTCTGGTCCCACGGCCTCTGAAAGATCAAGCTCCTCCGGTCCCACGGCCTCTAAAAGATCAAGCTCCTCCGGTCCCACAGCCTGTGAAGGATCAAGCTCCGGTGGTCCCAGGGCCTCTGAAAGATCAAGCTCCTCCGATCCCACGGCCTGTGAAGGATCAAGCTCCGGTGGTCCCTGGGCCTCTAAAGGATCAAGCTCCGGTGGTCCCCGGGCCTCTGAAAGATCAAGCTCCTGTGGTCCCAGCACCTCTGAAGGATCAAGCTCCAGTGGTCCCCAGGCCTCTGAAAGATCAAGCTCCTGTGGTCCCAGGGCCTCTGAAAGATCAAGCTCCTGTGGTCCCAGCACCTCTAAAGGATCGAGCTCCTGTGGTCCCAGGGTCTCTGAAGGATCGAGCTCCTGTGGTCCCAGGGCCTCTGACGGATGTAGGTCCCATGNGGGCCTCTGAAAGATCAAGCTCCTGTGGTCCCAGGACCTCTAAAGGATCGAGCTCCTGTGGTCCCAGGGTCTCTGAAGGATCGAGCTCCTGTGGTCCCAGGGCCTCTGACGGATGTAGGTCCCATGGTGTCCATGCCAGTTAAGGATCAAGATCACATGGTCCCTGGGCCTTTAAAGAATGAAGGTTCTCTGATCTCAGCACCAGTCAAGGACCAAGGCTCCTTGATCCAGGTGCCTCTAAAGAATCAAAGTCCTATGGTTACAGCAAGAGTTAAGGATCAAGGTTCCATGGTACCAGAGACTCCGAAGGATCAAGGTCTGATTCCAGCACCTGTCAAGAATCAGAGTCCTATGGTCCCAGGACATCTGAAGGATCCTAGTGCCATTGTCATAGCACCTGTAAAGAATGAAGGTCCTATGCTTTCTGAGCCTATAAAAAAACAAGGTTTAGCGGTCCCAGAGCCAGTCAAGGGTCAAGGTGGAGCAGTCCCAGAGCTTCTGAAGGATCACGATTCTGTAGTTGCAGCACCTGTAAAGAGTCAAGGTTCTATGTTCCCAGAACGAGTCAAGGATCAAGGCCCTGTAGTCCCTGAGCCTCCAAAGAATCAAGGTCCTGTGGTCCCTGAGCCTGTGAAGAATCCAGTTCCTATCATCTCGGTGCCTCTGAAAGATCAAGATCCTCTAGTGCCACCACCAGCCAAGGACCAAGGTCCTGTGGCCCCCGAACCTCTGAAGACTCAAGGTCCCAGGGGCCTGCAGCTGTCCACTGTTTCACCTCCACCCCCAGTCACGATCCCAACTGTCCCCCATGCAGAATATATTGAGAGTTCTCCTTGATACCCACCCCTTGACACCAAGGAAAGAGCTGGCAATGAAAGTGCTCCCTCTGCAGGGCAGCAAAGTCTCACATTTAATCTGCATGAAACACTGTTGTATAGTCTTGCTGGAATCTAATAAAACAGGTCCCTCTGGCTCAGCAGTGTCTGTCTCTGGCTCCACTTGAGAGTGTGTGTGTGTGCACGCGCGCATGCGCACGCACACCTGCGCACGCGTGTCATGCACATTTGAAAAGTGGGCTTGCAGAACTCTGCATCACCTATCCAGGCAAGAGGAGTCTGAGCAATTCCCAGCTCCTTTGAGTTGTCAGCATGAGTTGGGAGTGGGTGGGAGATGCTAGGAGATGGGAGGATAGGACACAACTGTGTTTTTCCTTTACTCTAGCACTCCTACACTTCACTTCTGACACCAGATGTGTGAGAGTTTCCCACACATCTAGCAGTTATCTGACGTGAGCTGGATGTCTCACAATTTATCTCAACTATCTACCTGGAGATAGTGTCACCTCCCACAGAGTAAGGGAGTCTCATAAAACGGCCCCCACCCCCCACTTCAAATGCAAACTTTGAGTCCCAGGTTGTCTGTCACTTGTACTTCTGACTAGCTATAAATTGGGGTTCTCACACCCCCTACTTAGTCTCAATAATTTGCTAGAATGGCTCACAGAAATCTGAAACTCTTACATTACTGGTTTATCATAAAAGGATACAGGATACAGATGAACATCTAGATGGAAGAGATGAATAGGGTAAGATACGGGGGAAGGGGTGTAGAGCTTCCATGCCCTCTCCAGGTGTGACACCTTCCCAGGAGCTCCAGCAACCCAGGAACTCTCTGACCCCCATACTTTTGGGATTTTTATGAAGGCTTCATCATGTGGGCATGATCACTCATTAACTCCTCTTCTTCCCAGAGAATGGGGAGTGGGACTAAAAGCTCCAGGCTTCTGCTCATGGCTTCATCTTTCTGCTGACCAGCACCCATCCTGAAGCTATCCAGGAGCCCACCAAGAGTCACTCCATTAAAACAAAAGGCACTCACCCAAAAAATTATGAGTGTTTTAGGAGCTCTATACCAGGAACCAGGAGCAAAGACCAACACCTATGTGTATTTTCTATTTTCTAGGTCAGGTCCCATGAAAGCCTAGAAGCCAGTACCAAATCACAGCAGGCTGGGCCCTTGGGTGGGCCAGAGCTGAAGCCTGCAGAGAAAATAGAAGCAGGGACCCAGCTGACCCAGTGTCATTCTGGGTGACAGTTGTTTGCCAAGGGCTCAGTCCTAAAGCTCATCCAAATATCATGCTTCTTGAGAAAGCCAAGCCTCTGATCAGAAGAGTCCCAGGACATCTGCTGATTCTCAGTATCCAGGACAGCTCAGCCAGGGCTTCTAAAACAATGCCCCAATCCCCCCATTCAGTCATGCACACAGCAGACTTCCTTAGCACACACTTTGTGTCTTCATCAGTGCTGGTCATTGAGGTCGCTGTGGTAAAGAAGTCCCAGTATTATGACAAGAAAAGGTAGTGTGGGATGAGGGCCTGGGACAACTAAAGGCCTGGTTTGAGAGGACAGTAAAGAGATGATGCCTGGAGGGGGCAGCCAGGAAGGTTTCTCAGAGAAAGCATCCATGGAGATCAGACAGCCTAAGCAGTGGATGGAAAGGGGCATCACACGTGTGGCTGGAGAATCAGAGTAAGCCCCTCTAGAAGTCCTCGAAGGAAAGGAAACTGATTTGCATGAGGGTTTGACGAAGAGATGTAGCAGGTCTCTGGGGCAGAAAACTGAGACTAGGCAGGGGTGATGTTTTCTGAGTCCCAGAACCTCAGGAAGGGACTCAGGAGGTCAGTCTTGTGAGCTGTGTGTTGCTGGCAGGCCAGGGAAGAAGACTGGGAGCTGCCAGAGAGGCTGAAGTTCTACCTTGATTAGAGATGGGTCCTATGAGGATCCCACTGTCTCAGCCACAATAGCCTCCACTTTAAAAACCCAAAACCCTCAGGGGCCTGGGACTATAAGGGGAGCTTCACCTATTGCCCTCACCAAAGCTGGCTCTCAAGGAACACTCATACCCCTTTAAAATTTTTATGACCCATTATGGACACTAACCCCTTTTAAAGGTCTTTTAAAAGGGCTCCTTTTAAAGGAGCTCAGCTTGATTCTTACAAAGAATCACCACAGGAAGTACTGATGACTTCCAAATTTTTCTGAGCAACTGACCCCAGGCCTGTCTCCTCATCCCTCTCCCAATAGCACCAGGGTTTTCTGCTCCAGAAGCCACCTCTATAACACACACACACACACACACACACACACACACGGTTTTCTGCTCCAGAAGCCACCTCTATAACACACACACACACACACACACTATGAGGATTCTTCTTGGCCCAACACAGAGCTTGCTGCCCTGTGAGTTGTAATAGGGCCCTGCAGACAAGAAAAAGCCACACTGATGCTAAAGAAGTGGTATGTAAGGACATCTCCCTCCTTTCAGTTCTCCCTCTGACCCATACCTGGTCTCATGACACACACAGACAGATGATGGTGCCACCTCTGAGATGTGTAACACCCTGGGGCAGATGTCCAGGAGGCCATTGCCTACGAGGTTTCCACCTCTGAAGAGAGAGAGCTGCCTTTGTGTGTGTGTGTGGGGGGGGGAGTGGGGGACTGGTCACTGAAGCCCCAAGTTTGAGAGGGCACACACTGAGCACCCCCAGACAGTGTCAGAATGGAAAGACAAATGGGCCCAACTCAAAGCTCTGGAGACTTTTTTTTTTTAAATATATTTTTATTGATTTCAGAGAGAGGAAGGGAGAGGAAGAGGGAGATATAAAAATCAATGATGAGAGAGTCATTGATCGGCTGCCTCCTGCACACTCCTGCAACCTGGGCATGTGCCCTGACCAGGGATTGCACCGTGAGCTTCTGGATTGTAGGTCGATGCTCAGCCACTGAGCCACACCAGCAGGGAAAGCTCTGGAGACTTTTAAGAAGTAGGAAAAGAAGTGCACAAAGGAGTCTGAGACAGGCTGGCCCTAAACTGTGAGGAGAGACCAGGGGCCTGTGGCGCCAGCAGTGATTGAATGAGAGTGATGGTCAATGACAAAAGCTGAGAGTGCAGACGAGGACCAGGTGGCCGTCCAACATGGAAGCTTACACTTGGGAGAGGCGGACACGGGCCCAGCCCAGCGCCGGTCAGCTGGATTTCCTCATTTCTCAAGGGGTCCTGTGGTCCTGACGGTTAGACCAGATGCTGCAGGCATCCCGCCCAGCTCCCCACTGCACAGAGAGCAGGCCCGGGGCGGCGGGCGAGGGCCCAGGCCTCCAGCCCTGGCTGGGTGGGCGGGCGAGACGGGGAATGAACTAGATTCTCCCCACTCTTCCCAGATGCAGGCTCCTTTAGGCCCCGGTTCTTGCCTGCTGCAGCCATTTCCCAGCCCCTCCCAGCATCCAGCGTCTCCATCCCT